TGTTGGTTGCTCCAATCACAGCTCGCGTGTGAGGCTCCGCCCAGACTCTCACGTCAGTCGCCTAAGGTTCCGCGGACGCGCGGGCTGGCGCGGTTCCCCGCTGGCTACTTCGGGGCTGGAGTTTGGAAAGGCGGCTGGATGGCCTCCAAGGCCTTCCGCCCTCAGAGGTCTTGGAGGTCTCTGAGGCCAGTGTCCTGTCTCTACTTCCCTGTGCCCAGACCGGGTTCGTAATAAGCGGGGAGGGTTCTGGCTCTAAGCGATTCCCGGCGTGGGGCCACTTCTTCCGCGGGATCCCCTGGCCAGTCTTTCGGTCCTGACGCTACGCTTGCCCCGAGGCAGGAGCGGCCTCACCACTGCCTGCCTTGTCCTGGATCTCAAATCTCCTGGTCCACACCCTCCGAGACTAGGGTAGTCCTGAAATGTGGGTCCTCGGAGATCTGGGAGTTCCGTTGATGGCCAGGGCCGAAAACAGTAAGTGGCAAAGCCAGAAAGTTTCTTGGGGGGCGAAAAAACCCAAAACTTTTTTTCCTGGTTATAAAAGCAATACAGGCTTTTTGTATTAAAACTGGGGGCAGGGGGGAATCCCAACTCTGAAATAATATTATCTTTACCTAGATATACAAAGTTGCACAAAAATGGCCTTGTATTGTTTTATGGTGTGCTTACATTTTATTATAAATGTTTTCCCGTGCCAATGAATATTGTTCCAAAACAATTGTACTGGCTGCATGGTATTTCAAAATAGAGAGTGACCGTAGTTAATTTACCCAAACCCCATTGTTCAAACATTTTGTATGCCCAGATCTTCAGATTCCAAGTCCACCACAATAAGGGCTCTCTTTTTGTCCCAAGTGCCATGAAATGAGATGTCAGGATAATCTTCCTCAGGTGCGATTTTCAACTGTCAACTAAAAACCTTGAGTGGTGGCTTTGCTGTAGGTGTCAGGTCTCAAGAATTACCTCAGACTCCTATATTTACACCCCCACCTCAATATTTATCAGTCCTCTTGTCCTGTTTTCTCAAACTTTTAAGACTGTCATTTTCCCTCCTGATTAGATCCCTGCCCAATTTATTGTAGTTCCTTAATTATAATAATCTCTTTTTTTCTGTGAAGGAAAGAGAGTATAGGGAAAAGAAAATTAATATCAGTCATTTGCTATATGCCAGATATATCCTCTCATTCAGTCTTCCTAATAATTATGAGGTCAGTAATACTATTGGCATTTAAATGATGAAAATGAAGCTCAGAGAACTTAAGTACCGTGTACAAGTGGTAGAGTCAGGATTCATACCAGGTATATCTGATATCCAAAGCTATGTTTTTGCACTAGGCCAGTATTTCTCAACTTTTTTTTTTTTTAATCACATCAACTTAATTAAATTTAAATTCTTTCTGATTAGAGAGATTAAAGATTAAGGAATAAGGTTTTGTCAAGGAGGGTTGAGCTTTGAAATAACACACCATCGTATTATCTAAGTTTATTTTTACCTATTAAGAATCTCTTTTCACCCAGAATAAAACACAAACTATCACCCCTTTGGGGATATCACTGTGTTGAGAATGAGTATCATATATTTTTGCTGGAGGTCATAATCTGCCAATATGAAGCTCAAATCTAACCCTTGATTTTATTGGCCTGAGATAAATATTTTTAAAAAGACACATTTGTGCCAGTAGAAATGAGGTACCTACTTCATAGCCTGTTTCCAAAGACCTATTCAGCAGCTTCTCTTGGACTACCATAGCACCTAGTATTTCCTTCTTCAAAGCACTTGTCCTACTCTATTATATGTAGTTGCCTTTAAGTAAACATCAAGGCAGAAACTTATTCAAGTGAGCATGCCTAGCATCTTTCATAGCATTTAAAAAAATGTTTGTTGAATAACTAAGTGAATCTCAAATGGGGATATTAGCAAATAGAAAGTAAACTTCCACAAGTGTATACTTTTACCCATGTATTTTATCTCTTTCTATGCCGTTTCTCTGCTCACTCTTCATTTCCCCCTAAGAAGCCTTCCAGCTGGGCCATGCCTTCTCAACTCTGTTCCCCTGGTTTTACACTGAATAGATGTCCCTGGTTAAGCATCTGAGCCATATCTGAATCCAAGAATCATGAGCTGTCCCTCGTGCTAGGGCATCAGAAAGTGCTGGTCCCATTAGACAGCCCAGTCACACACCAGCTATACACTTATCTTTTTTGATTTCAAGACATGCTGTCTTCCTAGTTGGACAATAAAGTGACTAGTTTTTTGTTTTTGTTTTTAAATGTTTCCCCTGATCCTGACTGGTGTGGTTCAGTTGGTTGGGCATTCTTCTGCAAAGCAAAAGGTTGCCAGTTCAATTGCCAGTTAGGGCACATGCTTGGGTTGTGGGTTGGATCCAATATGAGAGGCAGCTAATTGATGTTTCTCTCTCACACCGATGTCTCTCTCCCTCTTTTTCTCCCTCCCTTCTTCCTCTCTGAAAATCAATCAATCAATCAATCAATAATAAAATCCCCCCAAAAATGCTTCCCCTGATAAAATACATGATTATAGAAAATAAAACTGTTATAACATCACCGTCTAGAGATAACCAGTTTTGACATTTTCGTACAATTCCTTTTAGTCTCTTTTAAAAAGACCTTTTTCAATGGTATGATGCGTATTTTAAAATTTGGACCACACAATACATATAATTTGCACCTCTGTTTTCCATTTAACATTATATTGTAAATATTTTTTGACATAAAATATTCTTTGAAAAAGAACATCTAGTGGCAGAATAACTCATACCTTTCTTAGGTGAGTATTCAGTTAAATAGTTATTTAACTAACCTATGTACCTAAGGATCTCTTTAACAGATCTAGAGGCAGAACAAGTCCAAGTTAGGTTTCATTTCTGCCTTTCCCATATTAGCTGCAGGCAAGACTCTAAGGCACCACCAGAGGTCAGTGCAGAGCCATCTAGTATGCCCTGATGTAAGAAAATAGGTTACACAAGAATCCACATTAACAAATTCTATCTATTAGCCTTGGCTGGTGTGGCTCAGTGGATGGAGTGCCAGCCTGCGAACTGAAAAGGTTGCCAGTTCAATTCCCAGTCAGGGCACACGCCTGGGTTGTGGGACAGGTCCCCAGTAGCATATGTGCAAGAGGCAGCCAATCGACCTCTCTCACATCAATGCTTCTCTCCCTCACCTCCCTCCACTTATAAGTAGCTGAACAGCAGGGATCAAAAAGCCACTCCAGGCTTGATATGCTTGATGGACTCCAGCACAGGTGGTTGGCACTCCTGGTCTCTCCAAACCCAGAAGTGACTCTTAGAAGCAAAAGGCACCAAGGGCTCTACTTTCAACCTGACCAGCCTTCACTCTTCTCTTCTCATTTCCTCTCCACTTCCCAGTACCCCATCATCTGACATCAGGGACAAAGAGGAGCTAGGGCTGGGCATTCTGGAAACCAAGCAGCTTTCAACACCAGTTTGATATGACCTTTTCTGAGAGTAGTCTAATCTGCTGACTGGTTCGCTCTGACAAATCTCAGAAAACACAGGAGCCTGGGCAAAGCAAGGCCTGGGAGTCTGTCATTGGCACTTGATTTCCTCTGGGCCAGAGCCATAAGATCCCTTGCAAAAGAAGGGCACAGAAGCCACATAAAGGATGCATGCACAGCAGCTTGCACTGCCCTGAGACAACTCCAGAGGAGAGCAGTCCTGTGTCTTCCCCCTGAGGTCCTATGTCTTAGGGTAGGATCTAACACAGCGCACCACTTGAACAGCTAGTGCTCTTGGTAAGTAGTTCCTGGTACGTTCTTGGCTGGAGTAGAGTTTCTGGTGTTTGATAAATACCTGTTGGATGGATGAATGGCAGGTTTAGGCCATTAGACCAGCATTAAAGCACAGAGTAACCTGGAAAGAGCTACATTTCTATAGTCAATCAAAAAACATAAACAACAGTCCTGGGATTGGACTAGTGGAACTAGGCCTATATTCTTGAAAGGAAGTCAAGAAGGTCCCAACAGCTGGACCCAAACCCAGGAAAACTCAAGCGCCAAAGAACAACAATGCAGCAACTGAGATCAATCACTGTTATTACTTAAGAGTTTAGTACATGGGCCCTCACAGCACCTACCATCCCTGGAAGGACCAACCTCCTGAGACCACAGTTTAACCAGCTGACTAGCCCCACTCTGCATTCAGGAGGGAGTGAGGGGACTCATCCAGGAGGGCTGTGACACACCCACAGAGCTGACAAAGAGGCCCAAGAGAAGTACAGGGATCCCTGTGTCTACAAAGCTTCAGGACTTCCGCATCTAAACCTGCTAGGCTTAGAAGACCTGTTTCAGGTTTGGAAGACACTGCCGAAGCCTGTGCTCTGGAACAAGCTGCCAGTTGCCTAGGAAGGAGCTGGAGGGCACGTACAGTCTGCTTATTCAATGTTATCATAGACCTGGATCACGTCCTCATGGTTACCAAGAGCCTGGATGAGATGCGCCGCCTGCTCCAGGTCAGGGTCAGCCAGCCGCACCATTGTGTTAGGGATGAACTCTAATGTACAGGACACAGGACACAAGCCCAGGGAGTCCAGCTTCTTCCTTACTTGATGCAGTGAAGAGGCATCACAAATAAACTAGGGACAAAGCAAAGTTAGGAGATGAGGAGCCAGAAGATAATAGGACAAAGCTGGTCAAAACATTACAAAACCTGAATGGAACTACTTTGCGTATCACTGGGTTTAAGCTCTTCGCTGGCAGAGATATCATTTTCAATTGTTTTGAATCATTCCCATAGTCCTTAGTAGAGTAACGTCCTACCCAGTATTCACTTAATAAATGTTTGTGCAGCATATGAAATCTTTTATCTTGCTTGTACCTCAGGTATAGGAGAGAAACTGAGAGAGGTATGCCTTTATGCATCTATTAGTGCCCTCTCAGGAGTCCACCAAACACTATGACCTCATACTCACTTTAAAAATGCTTCTTTCCTCTTCGTCTTCAGTTTCCTTGACATCCTCAGCTCCTGCTTCAATCGCCAGCTCCAGGGCACGCTCTAGGTTCACTTCTTTCTTCTCTCTGTCCTCTACTCCAACCACGATCACCCCTTTTCTGTCAAAGGAGTGGCGAGCTCCTTCAGCCATCATTCCTCTGATGGGAAAGGAAATAAGCCAGAACAAATGTCTTCAGACACTCAGCCTCCACACCACACTGCACAGCACTGTCTCCCACCCAGCCTCTGAAATATATACACAGAGCAGCCCTCTTTCTGAAGATGCAGCTACCACTGGGCAAGGGAATAATCCAAATATATCCTCTATTTTCTGCCCTGATTTGACTTTGCGCATCAGTCGCTATGCCACTGAGATTCCAGTCCCAGGGGTACATTTGAAGACCTAGACATTATAAGGATACAGATGGGATAATGGGACCGAAGAGCCCCCTTCTACACTTATGAAAAAGTCTTTTGGATCCTGCCTAGTGCAGAACACATTAAAGGAGAGTAAATTTCCCCATTTAGATTCTGCTAAGGTTGAAGTATGTGTAAAATTTGAACCACCACCAGAAAGGACAGTACTTTCAGAATCAGAAACTACATGTTCCATCCCTTTCCACTCTCCCCACATACCTACCCATTTTTGTTCAGGATGTGTTTGATGTCCGAATGGCACTTCGAGCCACTGTTAGATAATGCCTCAATGAGCAGAGATGAGCCACCAGGGCCTCGACCCTCATACAACAAATAAATGCCCTTGGTTTTCTGTAAGAACAAGATAAGCACGTTTTCTTGTCTCCCAATTTCCCCTCTGCATGCCAGCCCAGAGCCACAGGCCCACCACCATAAAGTTGACTCCATGGGATGGACTCTTTGGGCTGGAGCCCAAGCTCTCAAGTCTTTATTTTTGTATCAAGTCTCAAGTCTCCTCAAACAGGAGGCCTGTGGGACCAACTTTTAAGGTAATTGGAAGCACTGCCCCTTACCTTGGAAGGGAGTCTGTTTCTCTGGTCCTGGAACAATCAATTAACCATTTCCCAGCTTTGTTTCTCCCCTCCCCAGCCAAATTCCACACCCACCTCACCCCCCCAATCACTCCCACCAGGACTCATCCTCCTACACACTAACCCTTATGAAATCCACCTGTGCTCCTACCCCTGGGTTGCTGAGTACTGCTGCACAAAATTGGATACCTATGCCTTTTCATAAGAGCCACTGAAAATAGCATCACCTCAAAAATTCAAACAATCAATCGAAAACTATAATGACCAACTCATCTGGACCTCCCATGCTACCTTGCCCATGAATCTGATCTTTACCACTTTCTTCTTTTTGGAATTTAACTTAAACCCATTTCATTTATTAAGACTTGTTGAAACTCTCCCAAAACATAATTTTTAGTATATTTTGTTGATTTTGCTATTAGTTTTCCCATTTTTTCTCCCCTTTATTCCCCTCCATTCTGCACTTCTATCCCACCAGCATTTCCCCCCACCTTAGTTCATGTCCATGAGCCATACATATAAGTTCTTAGGCTCTCCATTTCCTACACTATTCTTAACCTCAAGAGGAGAAAAGGAAGAGCAAGAAATTAAACCTCAAGAGGTTAAGAATAGTGTAGGAAATGGAGAGCCTAAGAACTTATATGTTCTACCTACCATTTATGCTTCTTATTCCCTGTATCTTTCCCCCATTCTGTCTCCTCCCCCTCCCCACTGATAACCCTCCATGTGATCTCCATTCCTGTGATTCTGTTCCTGTTCAAGTTGTGTGTTTAGTCTGTTGTTGTTTTTTTACGTTCAGTTGTTGATAGTTTTAAGTTTGTTGTCATCTTACTGTTCAGTTTTGATCTTTTTCTTAGATAAGTCCCTTTAACATTTCATATAATAAGAGCTTGGTGATGATGAACTCCTTTAATTTGACCTTATCTCAGAAGCACTTTATCTTCCCTTCCATTCTAAATGACAGGTTAGCTGGATGCAGTAATCTTGGATGTAGGTCCCTGCCTTTTATGACTTTGACTACTTGCCAGCCCCTTCTTGCTTCCAAGGTTTCTTTTGAGAAATCAGCTGATAGTCTTATGGGAACTCCTTGGAGGTAGCTGTTTCCTTTTCTCTTGCTGCTTTCAAGAGTCTCTCCTTATCTTTAATCTCAGGTAATGTAATTATGATGCACTTTGGTGTGTGCTTCCTTGAGTCCAACTTCTTTGGGACTCTCTAAGCTTCCTGGAAGTCTATTTCCTTCATCATATTGGGGAAGTTTTCTTTCATTATTTTTTCAAGTAACTTTTTAATTTCTTGCTCTTCCTCTTCTCCTTCTGGCATCTCTATGATTCAGATGCTGGAACATTTAAAGTTGTTTCGGAGGTTCCTAAGACTCTCATTTTCTTTGAATTTCTGTTTCTTTATTCTGTTCTGGTTGAATGGTTATTTCTTCCTTCTGCTCCAAATCATTGATTAGAGTCCTGGTTTCCTTCCCTTCACTGCTGGTCCCCTGTATATTTTTCTTAATTTCACTTTGCATAGCCTTCACTTTTTCCTCTATTTTGCGACCATATTCTACCATTTCTGTGAGCATCCTCCTCACCAGTGTTTTGAGCTGTGCATTTAATAGGTTGGCTATCTCTTCGTTGCTTAGTTCTTTTTTTGGAGTTTTGATCTGTTCTTTCATTTGGGCCATATTTCTTTGTCTCAGCACACGCGTTACATTGTAAGCATGGAGCCTTAGGTATTAGCCAGGGTGGGGCAACTCACATGGCTGCATTGTGGCGCTGTATGTGAGGGAGGGGTCAGAGAGGGAGCAATGCCACTTGCTTGGCTCTCTTGGCTGGCTTTCAATCAATTCCCCTGCTACCCACAAACAAATGGGCCCTTCTAGCGCTGATTCTTGGGTGTGCGGGCTTGTGTATTCTAGGACTCTGTGGGTCTCTCCAATGAACCCTTCTGTGAGGCTGGTAGTTTCTTCCACCACCACAACCCCCACAGATTTTTACAGCCAGAGGCATTGAGGCTTTCTTTTCTGGTGCTGGAACCTTGGGTTGCACCATATGTCTTGCTCCCCTGTTGTTCCTCCTAGCATATCCACATGCAAACGTGGGACCACCAGCCTCCATCTCACCCACCTAGTCCTCCAGCCGCCACCTTGCTGAATGTCCTCTCCGCCCAACTGCCCATCTCCGCCCCTCCTACCAGTCTGAATGAATGTTTCTTCTTTAACTCCTTGGTTGTTGGACTTACCTACAGTTAGATTTTCTGGCAATTTTGGTTGTTTTCTTGTTTTTAAATTTTTTATTGTCCTCCTTTTGGTTCTGCGAGGAGGCAAAGTGTATCTACCTATGCCTCCATCTTGGCCAGAAGTTCTGATCTTTATCACTTTCTCTTAGCATCCAAACTGCTGCCTTCCCAGGAACTCCCAACTAATAACTTCTCCCTTCCTCTTTTACAAAAGAAATAAAGGACTACCAGGTGAGAGAAAATCCTCTGATTCCACCACCTTATCTATACCACAGCCAACATGAAGGCAGTATGTATGAGAGTGTATAGGCTCTGGAGTCTGACTGTTTTCAATTCTGTCATTTTTTGTGCGATTTGGTGAAATCGCTTAATCTTTCTGTGTCTATGTTTCCACTTAAGAGTGTTCAGAGGATTCAGTGAGATAATGCATGCAGATTTCTTATCAAAGCACTTAACCTGGAGTAAGCACTCAACTATTAGTTATTAAGACAATTATTACTTCAAGACTTCCAGTCAAGATGGCAACATAAGTAAACACAGCTCATGTCCTTGCACAACCGCATCAAAATTACAACTAAAATGTAGAACAACCATCACTCAGAACAATCAGAAATCAAGTTGAATGGAAGCCTGACCACTATGGAATTAAAGAAACTACATTCATCCAGACTAGTAGGAGGGGTGGAGATGCTGAACGGGCTGGTCCCACATTCATGTGTGGTGGATAAAAATTCGGGAGGGATATCTTGGGAGCAAGGAGTTCCAGCCCCACACCAGGCCCCTAGCCCAGTGTTCCAGGGCCAGGAAGATAAGTCCTTATAACTTTTGGCTGCAAAAACCAGCAGGGATTAAGTCAACAGAAGAAACGTCTGGAGTCTCAAGTAGTTCCTCTTAAAGAACCCACACACAAACCTACTCAGACTCACCCCTTCTCAGCTCCAGCACCAACGTAGCAGCTTGAAAGGCACCAGTGAGATACAGAGAGGAACTGAAGTGTCAGGCATCAAGGCAGGAACTGGGGGACAGCTTTCTCCCAGACAGAAAGGGGGGTAGAAGCCATTGTCCCTTTACTGAACCCTCCCCCAACAGAGCAACAGAGCTGGCACACGGGTGCCATATCTGAGACTCCATCAACCTGGTTAACACTGTTTGCCCTGCCCTGGAGATCTGCTGAGACTCTGCCCCACCCAACTTATGGACCCCCCCACCCAAGATATGAATGGCTGGTATTGGCTCATGATTCACAACCTCCTAAATCCGATCAAACAAGCAAGAGCTGGCTTCAGTAAGCCCCCAGCCCCTGTACCTCTTGCTAAGTGGTCCCAGGCTTGGCACTAGCAGCAGCCAGCCTAGATTCACAGCTTGGCTTTGCGTGGGAATCTCCAAGCCCAGCACAAATAGCAGCCATCTCAGATTGCTTTACAGCTCAGGCAGGGTGCCCCAGGCAAAACACAGGTGGAGGTTCTCCTCGGCCTGCACCGCCAGGGAAATCGCAGGGCCAATGCACCCAGTGGACAGCTACAGACAACGTCGGAGCACCACCACCCTGCCCCGGCACAGCTGATCCTCCACAGAGGACATAGGTTGGTGGTCAGTGGTCACACCCAGTCCTTGCAGCTGACTGGCCTGGGTAAATCCCTCCCATTGACCTGCCAATGACAACTAAGGCTGAACTAGAAAAGGAGGGTGTACTCAGACCACACAAAGGGCACACCTCGAGTACCCAGCTTGGGTGATAGGTGAGGCTGTGCCACTGGACTCCACAGGCACCTATTCCATTAGATTATGCTACCAAGACACAGAGTCAAAGCAGCTCTACCTAATACATAGAAATAAACACAGGGAGGCTGCCAAAACCAGGAGACAAAGAAAAATGGCCCAAATGAAAGAACAGATCAAAACCCCGGAAAAAGAGCTAAACAAAATGGAGATAAGCAATCTATCGGATGCAGAGTTCATAACACTAGTTACAAGGATGCTCAAGGAACTTAGTGAGGACCTCAGCGGCATAAAAAAGACCCAGTCAGAAATGAAGGATACACTAATTGAAATAATGAACAATTTACAGGGAAACAATGGTAGAATGGATGAAGCCAAGAATCAGATCAATGATTTGGAACATAAGGAAGCAAAAGCAACCATTCAGAATAAGAACAAAAAGAATCCAAAAAATGAGGATAGTGTAAACAGCCTTAGACAACTTTAAGAAGTCCAACATTCACCTCATAAGGGTGCCAGAAGGAGAAGAGAAAGAGCAAGAAACTGGACATCTACCTGAAAAAATAGTGAGAGAAAACTTCCCTAACTTGGTGAAGGAAATAGACATGTAAGTCTAGGAAGCGCAGTCCCAAACAAGATAGATGCAAAGAGGCCCAATCCAAAACACTTTATTACTAAAAGGCCAACGATTAAAGATAAAGACTCTTAAAAGCAAGCGAAAAGTAGTTACTGGAAGGTTGCTGGATGGGAGTGGGTAGAATGGGCAGAATGGATGAAGAGGTAAGGGGATTAAGAAATACAAATAGGTAATTACAGAATAGCCATGGAGATGTAAAGTACAGTATAGGAAATGGAGTAGTCAAAGAACTTATACAAATGACTCATGGACTATGGTGTAGGGATTGCCTGAGGGAGTGCAGAGTGCTGGGTGGAGGGGGGCAATGGGGAAAAATTGGGACAACCGTAATAGCATAATCAATAAAATACAATTTTTTAAAAAATGATTATTACCTCTGAGATCCTTTCCAATTATCCTAGAGGAAGAGGTGTCCCCTCACCTGGGCTCTATCACTACCATACGACCCCTCTCTCTTCCTATTGGTTTTTCTCTTTTGGGTATAAATATCAGAAAAATGAACACTCCTCAATCTAACAGTTGGGCCTTCCCCACATTCCTTCTGCCTCATCTCCTGACTCAGCTGAGCAGTCCTAGGCTCTGTGGTTCTGCACATTGTCTATTCATCCTATGCTTGATTGTGATCCCATAACCAATGGCCAAGAAGAGCCACCAATAGGCTGTGAATTGAAGATGTCAATCATAGTGCTACCCTTCTCTCTGATAATTTAAGGAGTGTTTGGTGGCCTTTCAGACATGGACTCTGTAGGGGTTCTGATCAATAACAAGGTCAAGTTGAGGACACACCTCCATTTTCAGCGACGCCTCAATCGTTGACTTGGGCATGTGCTTTTGCCGACACACCTCTAAGATGTGGGCCAGCTGGCTGTTGAACTCAGGGTTGGGTCCTCCTTCTGAGATAAGAAAAGAGTGAGCAAAGTCATCTCATTTCATTTTTTCCAGACCTACACCCCCTCATTACCCCAATGAGTGGCAAGTCATCACTTTGTTCTGGGTTAGTTTAGAACACTTTATCCATTGTTTGTATGGAATATGGAGGAGACATATTTTTGAAAAGTTTTTAACTCGCTCTGTCCTTAAGAAATGAAGGGCTGGGGATCGGGGTGGGCACTGGCCCACCTCCCGGAGGCAAACAAGGCAAATGAGGCCTTGCCAACAAAGAGGGCAGCGGGGACCAACGGTGAGTGACAGGTTCTCACCTCTAACCGCTAGGCGGATGCTCAAACAAAGCTTGGAGAAGATGCGACTCCTCTCAGTGTCCTTGGGACCCTTGATGTGTCGGACTTTGGACCACTTGTTGTGCCCGGCAGGGGCCGCCGTGGTGAGGTGCAGCGTCCGGCCCAGAGCTGGGCTACAGCCCGGGGGACAACGCTGGGAGCTCGGGGAGACGAACGGAAGAGCCACCCAGACTCTAGGGCCCAGCGCCCGTAAGCGTGGTGCAGCGATCCTGCTCCGGCTGACAACAGCCCAAGCCGCCATCGGCTCCGACCCTGGCCCAAGGTCAGCAAGAACTGAGAAAGGGCGGCGTCCAAAGTCGGCCCGTCCAGTTCCCCGCCGGAACAAACGGGTCCGGAGCCTGAGGTTGCCTCCACCTGTCACCCGTGACTCAAAGGCTCAGGCCCAACAGGAGCAGCCCAAATTCCAGGGAATTGGCGCCGTCCCCGCGAGAGCCGGGAGTGAGTCCTCTCAATGGTGTAACACACTTCCTTTCCCCGGTCCTCTCTGGAAACGCTTCCCCACCGCTCTCAAAATCGGTTCCGCCACTGCAGGTACTCGCTCCTCTGTAGCCCCAGCTCAAGGCCGGGGGATGTGAAGTGATTCCAGGCTCAGTCACTGCCGGTTGCCTGGGGAGCGCAGGACTTTATTTATATGAGAGATATATATGAGAAATATATCTGAGTTATGAAACTGATTCTGCTTCTGAATTGCTTGCCAGCTCTGAGCAGGTCCAGAATGATATTTCATGGTTGCAAAGAAATACGTACTTCAACAACTTCATTTTACAAGAAATCGCTGCCCGGAGTTATGATTTACCTAATCATTTAGTCTCTCTGAACTTCCTCTTCGCTATTTGTAAATAAGGATGCTGCTAGTACTTGCTTTACCAACATAGGAAGGTTAAAAACACAAAATAAGCCCTTGGAGCTTTGAAATAATAAAGTCTTATGTAAATAGCAGAGCAACCATAGTGCTGAAGCCCTCTCAATGCAAGAGATGGACTGAGATTTGGATGAGACACAGGCCATTCTGGAGGAGCATGATCATAAGAGCCTTCTGGAACCAAATTTCCTTCTCCATTTTCTTTCTGCCCTCATCAAAGAGAAAACTGAGGCCATTAGGAGAAGATAGAGAACAAACAAAGTGGCAAGTGCTGAGAAACTTTCTAGTGGCTCCCTATACCATTAAATCCAAAGGACTGGTCTGTTAGATAAAGAGCAGGACAGTGTGAAGTTTAAGCTTGTGGCCTCTGGAGTGTAACCTTGGGCAAGATCCTTTATTTTTCTAGATTTCAGCTTCCTTGCCTGTAGAATAGCCTTGAAAAGACTAAATGGGATAATGGATACAAAGTATATGGGCACAGATTTTACATTAGTTATGATTATGTAAGAACCTCTATAATCTCAGGTCTACTCATTTATTTTTTGTTCTCATGTCCTGACATTATAGTCTGGTTGGAGGGAATTACTCACTGTACTCTGAATACAAGTTATCACCTTTGCTTCTCTCTGTCTTAAGCTCTTTGCCCCAAGACCCAGTTCAGCTGTCACCTCCTGGGTTAAGAGCTTTAAATTTTAAGCTGTAACAGTTCACTTATGAATTATTTTATTACTATTTATTGTCCAAGCTACTTGGGCTCAGCACTCTCTTCTTTGTACTTTGAAGATTAGAAAACACCAGATTGCTCCTAGTACTTCTGATTCCTGTGTTTAGCACAAACCTTTTATTGGTCTGTGTTCCACCTCACTTCATCTGGCTAATTTTTGTTCTTCCTTCAAGATTTGGCTCAGGCATTATTTTGCCCCACCAGAGGAAGACATCCCCAAATTCTCCTTTTGGACTCAGATACCCTACTCTGTGTGCTCACATAACCCTTCATGCCTATCTTACCTTTTTTATATCAAAATGTTTATGCCTGTCTCTGCTACTATGTTAAATTATTTGAGAGCAGGATTGTACTATTGTGCCCAGAACAGTTCTTGTTTTTTAAATAACATCTTTAACATAGAATTCACATATACAAGTCGCCAATTTAAGTGTACATTTCTGAGTGTATTCACAGATTTGTACAGCCATCACAATTTTACATTTTAATTACTCCCAAAAGAAATCCTGTACCCATTAGCAGCCACTCCCTATTTCCCCCCAGTTTTCCAAGTCCTAGGCAATCACCAGGTTATTTCTGTCTCTATGGATTTGCCTATTTTTTTTAATTTTTTAAAAAAATTATTTTTAGAGAGAGAGAGAGGGAGGGAGAGAGAGAGGGAGAGAAACATCAATGTGTGGTTGCCTCTCATGCACCTCCAACCAGGGACCTGGCCTGCAAACCAGTTATGTGCCATGACTGGGAATCGAACCTGCGACCCTTTGGTTTGCAGGCCAGTGCTCAATCCACTGAGCCACACCAGCCAGAGTGGGTTTGCCTATTCTTGACATTTCATATGAATGAAATCATAAAATATGTGGCCCTTTATGACTGGCTTCTTTCACTTAGCATGTTTTGGGGGGGTTCATCCATGTTGTAGCATGCATCAGCACTTCATTCATTTTTATTACCAAATAATAATCCATTGTATGAATATACCACATTTTATTTATCTATTTATCAGTTGATGGACATTTGGGTTGTTTCCACCTTTTGACTATCATCATAAATAATGCTGTTATGACCATTAAGAGTTTTTGTATGGGCATATGTTTTAATTTTTCTTGGGTTTATACCTAGAAATGGAGTTGATAGGTCATATGGTAACTCTACAATGAACCTTTTGAGGAACTACAAGACTGTTTCCTAAAATGGTTGCATCATTTTACATTCCCATAAGCAATGTTTGAGATTTCCATTTTCTCCAAATCCTTGCCAACACTTTTTGATGATAGCTGTTGTCATCCTAGTGGGCATGAAGTGGTATCTCACTGTGGTTTTGATTTGTATTTCTCCAGTGACTAATGATGTTGAGCATCTTTTCATGTGCTTACTAGATATTCATATATAGTATTACTTTCTGTAATTTAAAAATGTATCATACACCTTAAACTAATACAATGAGTCAATTATATTTCAATAAAACAGGAAAAATATATAGTTTAATATGGTACTTTGAGTAGATTTCTAATTAAGGGGATGTATAATCACAAATAAGTACAGAAGTCAAAGCAAAGCAATTGCCCTGGCCCAATCAGCCTAAGTCTATCAGGGCAAACCTATAGTCCAACAGAGTCAGGCTTATTTCACTATATTAACAGTAACACCAGAGCGAGGTAGGGTGTCTCACCAAAGGAAAAGATAGTAATTATAGGATAATGGGGAAGGGTGGAGGTTAGGCAAAATTTCAATGAAATAAAGTCTGATAGGCTCAAAGGAACAGGGAGCTCTATGAAAAGAGGATCAACATCAACTCTAGTCCACAAAGACCCAGGGTTCAGTCTTCTTGGAAACTACAAAGTTAAATGCAGAATGTTGTGCTCAGAAACTCTTGCTCTGAAGCTGTACACCTGGGCTGGAAAGCAAGGCTGCTTCTCTGTCAAAATGACTTAAGATTCTCTTAAGACTGTAAGGCTTCATTCTCACTGATACAATTTCAAACACCTAACTCTCTTAACAGTTTATGATTTTAGAAAACAAAGTTTCTCAGTGAATCAAAAAAGTAGTCTCTCGGAGAAGGGGTTGTTGTGACACTTAAGTTGCAGAGTGTGCTTAGCAGAAATACTGATTCCTGTTAACTTTGCAGCCGCTTTTTTCTGTGTATGTTTGTCTGTGATGAATGGCTGGGAAGATTTTTCTCCTCAGTCTGAGCAAATATTTACTGCCTCAAGATAAATTCACAGGTGACTGAACAATCTCTAGAGGCCTGGTTGTCAGGATCACTGAAACCATTAATTAACAATGGGCCTTGGATGTGAAAGATTGGCTGAAGGCATCATTCTGTTAGATATGAGTATACGTTGTACATACTAATAGCTCTAAACAAGTGAAATGACGCTAGTTATTAGTCCAGATGCTTTGCTAATCTGATGGTGTGGCAGAGGCATTGCTATTGATTCACCGTTTATTTCCTCTTCCTCGGCACATGGGAAGACTATATTTCTTGATCTTCCTTGCAATTAGGTTGGAATCACATGACTAAATTCAGCAGATATGGGCAGAAGTGAGTAAATATTTCCAGGACTATTCTGAAAAACATGCCCACCTTGGAGGCCACAAGTTTTGGATGACATAGCTACAAAAGGAGAATAGCTGAGCAACTTCCAAAGGACTTCATGTAAACCAGAGATTTTCAATCTCTTTCATTTCATGGCACACATAAACTAATTACTAAAATTCTATGGCACACCAAAAAATGTATTTTTTCTGATCTGGTAAAAAAAATTAGGTATAATTTTGATTCATTCACACCAGATGGCTATTGTTGTGTTGGCTGTTGAAATTTTTTTATTTGACAATCTAAGGGAAAAGAGATCAGTGCCCCTGATTAGTCAGGTATTACATTTAAAAATTATTGTGGCACACCAGATGAAATTTGCAGATGTAAGCAAAAAACCAAACTTTTGTTGTGTTCAGTCTCTGAGGGTTTTTTCTTTCCCTGCAGCATAGCCCAGTCTATTGAGATTAATAAAATCAGTGTTACTCTCCCAGCTTTCCTCTTAAAAACCAAAGAGCAGGAATCATGCATTTTCCCCCAAAATACACGTTGTCAGACCACACAGCACAGTTCCAATAGAGTCAGCAGATGATTGTTTTGCCACATAAAACTCCAACTCCCAGAAGACATACTTTCCTTCACAGACCCACTGCCACCCCTGGCTCCATTCTTCTGACAGAATGGCAGACACTTCGTAAATTCTGGCTCACTGAACCATCACAATTCACTTTTCTTTCTTCCCTTAATGGCCCAACAATAAAAATTAATGGAAGGGTGGGGAGTATTCATGCAGGACTCACAAAATTTGGATAGCAGTGGGGACAGGGACTCCTTTTCCATCCTGCCACTTTGGGAAATCTGGCTTGGACATGGAAACTCTAATAATCACATTAGAGCCTGGTGTCTAAACACACAGGATTTGGGAGTTACCATTTCTTTGTCATCCTTCCTCTAGATTACTGAATCCTGATTATTCTGTCTCATAAATCTTTTCAATTGTGACCTATTCTCCTTTCCCACTGCTCCTTAGTATGGGCTTTTATTTTTTTTTCACTTTGACTATTCTAATAGGTGAACTGATTCCATCTCAAACCCCCACCCCCCACTCAGAAGATACTTTCTTCTCTGCTTCCTAAAATGCAATTCTGAGCATGACTTTCCTCTATGTAACATTTCCAGTCTCATACAGGAGTAAGCTCTTATCTTTCTGCCAAGCATAAAAGATTCTGATAAGGCTCCCGCCCACCTCCCTAGCCACATTTCCCACCAGTCCCCATATAAAACCCCACATCAACTTGTAATTATCTGAATATGACCACGCTCTTTCTTGCATTTATAGATACCTGGATGTTTTCTCTGCTTTAAATGCCTTTCACTGTTCCAAGAGAACTCCTACTTAGTTGTCTTGTGAGGATTACCCTGACGCTCTCTGGCTCCCACCTGATCCTAGGTGATCACCAACTCCTCAGGGCTACCAGTAGGCCTGAACACACCTGCTATTGCACAACACTGACAGTACTTGTTTATGTGGGTGTCTCCTCTGGTAGACTGAGAACAACTGAGGGTCACTGAACCATCATAATTTCCTGGCATGGTCCCTGGCATGGAGTAGGTGCTTTGTGTTTTAAGATGATAAGTCAGGCTACCAGATAATGATGAGCTGGGGTAGAGTCTAATCCCCCACCCACTGTCTCTGAAACATGACCATAGTGGCAGAATGGGAACAACTGAATTTATCACAAGAAGAAATTCAATCAACCTATACATGTTCAAGTTTTATTACAAAGTATGATGGACAGAAAATACGGTCTTACACAGGAGGCTGAAACAGAGTGGGAGGGTGAAACTTAGGTTTAATATACCTAATTAAGCAAGAAATAAAGTCATAGACATAACACTCCACTTTGAGGTGCCTTTGAAATAGCCTTCAATGGGGATTTACCATTGTGGTTTCACAGCACAGTGTTAAAATTTTATTATAAGCCCTGTGTACAATCAGTCCTGTGAAAATATCTTAAAAAGAAAAATGGTTACAGTACAGTTCTGTAAGGGGCAGCTTCCTCTCCACCTGACCATAGGATGCTACAGAACCTACAGTATAGAGGAAAAGTTTAAATATATAACAAGAAAGTAAGCTCAGACACGCTAGGCTAAAGGGGACAGAGACTGATTGGCTGGAGCGTAACATTTCAGAGAACAAGAAATCTCCATTTTCTACATAGATGTTTGTACAATCATGCTACAAATTCACACTAGGGGAAGGAGGGATGAAAAGTCACTGATGGGGAGGGGGTTCATAAAATACACAGGAACCGAAGCAAATGATTCATACTTGACTCAAGCAAGTCAAAGCTTTAGCTCAACAAGTTTCATAACATACTGTACACCACAATCAACCCAAGGTGAGAACATTTCTTTTAAATAGCAGATATCACAAGTTCATATTCACTCACTTGTCCCAAAGGTGGGCACTTACAAGTTTTCCAGCTGTTACACAGACTGCCAACATCTTTCTTCTTGAGTTCATACTTTCAATAGCTTATTTGTTTCTGATTTGATATACCAGTGCAAGCCTCTTTGGAAAGGCACCTGCATGTCCTATATTTAAAAAATAGCATCCAGAGGGTTGCCTGAGAGGACCTGGCCCATATATATTTGCCTTAGACCATTAGCAGCAGTGACCACTGCGGGAGAAAAGGGTGCAGGTAGGGCAGGTGGGCCAGGCTCTGCAACATGAGACTTTTCCAGTAGCTGGTTCATCCAGTACAGAAAAGGCAATTCTTAGAGAGCCTGGCCCCAAGTTCACAGTGACTGCTCAGTCCAGCTTTCCTCCCATGGAAAACCCAAATGAAGTGCCAAGCATAGCCCTCCTTCCTCCTCCTGGAATATACGGAGTAAAGGGGAGAGTCTGCTTTGAAACTTCTACTACAATGGACTCCCTTTCCCCAAGCCAGGCAGTTGAAGGAACTGCCTTATTCTCAAACTGAGGAAAGCGGAGAGGTGGTCCTGGGCTGGCCCTCCCATGTTTGGAAAACCTTGCATCTCCTACATATTCTTATAACCTAGGAATTCAAGGCCCAGGTTGCAGCAGGGAGAAAGTTCTACAGTGGAAAGGGAGAGGGAAGAGAAGAAGAAGAGAAAAGGGAGAGGTGGGGGAAAGTCAGCATGGGTGTTCTCAACCTCTGCTTCTCCAGCTCTCTATAAACCCACAGCCAGGAGCCACAGTCTGGAACAATCACGGGACTCAAGACCTGAAGATTTCTACTACCAAAATCATGCATGGCTGCATCACTGCAGGGAGGGGCTCCTTTGCCCTGAGCTGTCACCCTGTCCCCACAGTTACCCAGCATCACAGACAGCTGATGAATGGTCCCTGACACCCACCACACAGCAGAGTGTCTGAATACTTCCCCACCTCAGGCCATTACTGCCCTCTAATATTTTCTCCTTTGATCTAAAGCAACACTTACATTGATTTTCTCCCACATTCTACATCTCCTTCTAAAATTTCAGCCATAACAATCATCAAAACCTTGTAGAAATCTCAATTTTTTGTTTCTTCCCAAAACTTAACCAGTTCTCTGAGAGCCCATCCTGTTCTCATAAGAAATTCTCATCTAGTTATCAAATATCTTCCCTCTTCAAGTCCTCTTCCTCCCTGGAAGGAAACAGTTCCAACTCTCTTGAGAGTAAACACTCAAGCTTTGGAAGGACTGTTACCCATTGCTCTCTGATGTGGAAGCTGAGGCCAAATTTATTCAGCATCTTCCTTCACTTCCCCCAGGGAAGACAAGAGAAACAAAAGGTGGCTTCAGCTCAGGGGCCAAGAACAAGCCAAAGGGCCATCGGAGCCAGAGCCCAGAAGTGCTGCAGTGGCCTGTCCAATGGCATCCTGGCAGCTGCTCTGCTCACATTCCAGGAGAGCAGATCCAGAGCAGACACATGCTCTCTGGCTGTCAATTTGAGAATCTAAGCAAATTAAACAGACACTTGCTCTTGAAACTACAACAGATCTTTGCTTCCTGGAACATGTCTGGCTAAGAGGTTTTCTGAATCTCGAGACTACAGAAATCCCCTCCTCAACTATGAGGCCATTTGGCCTGTGACATAAAGGATAGGAACCAAATACCAGCATCCCAGCCACTGTGAGTGTGTGTTAGCTCAGGGAGATGGGGGTGTGAGGAGGAGGACAGCACCACAGGGCCTACGGACAGTCATAGGGCTGGGAGTCCACAGGGTAAGGGGGAAAAAATCAAAAGCTGTAGATGAATAAATAGCAACTTTACCCAAATATATTCTAATTATTGTTAACTAACTTTTTCCTTCAGGTTTTTTTCAAGTTCTAGCTGACAAATCTTCTCACTATTCAGACCAGTTTAAGTGCAGACTGGGAAAGGAATCTTAAATCGGAGCTCAATATACTTAAGCCCTGCCAAGCAGGACCAGGTCCCTCTACCATTCTAACCTCCTTTTCAGACCCTTTTCCGCAGGAGGGAACTGTCGACCTCCTAGAGCAAGCAACCATCAATTTAGACTTGCTACCCTTGAGAAAAGGACGCTGGAACCATCCAACACAACTGCAAGCAGAGGAGGGTTCTGACCAAGAACCGCTCACTTTACATCTCCAAATGACATACTGCAAGTCTGGTGGTCAACGCAGGAGAGTAAACCTCAAGCAGATGACCCGCCAGAGTCCCAAAACCAAAATAAAAAAGTAAAAAGGTAGAAAAGGAAATACCCTGACAAAAAAGACCTTTTTACTTTGGGACAAGCCCCTGTGTAGTAAAGCAAAGAGCTATGACTTTGGGGATATAAATATATCTGCTTCTGAAAAGGAAGACAACGGGAAAGCTCTCACAGGGCTCAGAATAACAAAGCAGGCAAGAGTCTAAGTGGACAAAACCATCAGCCTTAAGGTCTGCTACCCTCCGAAGGTCTCAGAAACCTCCTGCCAGGCAGAGCACAACAAACCAGGAAGACTCCTGCCCAGACTCTGAGCATGTCCCAAACTCAGCCTACAACCAGAGCCACACACAAGCCCCCTCTGTGGAACTTACTCACGTAACGGAAATAGACACTTGCAGCCAATACTGCTCAGAACCTAAACTGGAGGCAGGGAGGTTGACAGCTGTGCATAGAGCTGTTAACTGGGTGACCCTGGGGTCTCTGATTCTTTTTGTAGCTATCTATTTATTTGATGGCCTGAAATCATGATGGCCTATCAGTCCCTCCCTTACTAGAGCTGACATCTCCCCACACTCTAAAGACTTTATTCAGGGTTAGACACACAGGTCGTGGGCCTCTCAAGCAGGAGTTTCTCACCTCAGGGCACTAAATCCAAAGAGTGGCTGACATATTACCAGTCACAGTAAACTAAACAGAGATACCGAAGTTCAGCTTATGGATTATTCTTGTCTATTGTTCAAGATACAAACGAGAATCATCTGGGGCTTTTATTTGGAGTGAAAAACAGACTCTGAAACTATGTACTGGAAATATGCTCCAGGCTCAGCTTTCCTGAAACTATTCTCCTCAAGTCCCCAACCAGCCTACCTCAGCTCTAGCACGTTCTCCGTAGGTTCCTGTGGGGTTGGACAGAGGTACTTCAGGGAGTAACAGTAGGCTTCACACATTTGTTTTGGAGCCCAGTATGCCCTTGAGAAGAGCCAGGCTGAGAAAAGGGGTGAGAGCTGGCCAACTTCAGAGCACCAGGGCGGTTTGGGACTCCCGGTCAGGTCCATTCTGCTCAGGCAGTGATTCAAGAAGGCAAACTGCTCACAGGGTCAAGAGCCCAGTGCCAGCTCCAGGCACTGAGGGAAGAGAGGAAGGTGCTAATATGGAGGACTACAAACAAAGGAAGATGCCAGAGAGTAAAATTCTTTTCATAAAAAAATTAGCCTGATAGATAAAAAATATACAAAGTTGAAATTTGTTACAGACATAGATAAGAGGAGGAAAGACAACTTCAAATTGGTTATTTGTTCCCACTTAAGTGCTAACAGGGACATGGACACAGGTTGCTGCCTTGGGCAACAGACAGACAGAGACATCTGGGGCAGATGAATACAAACACAGCCAGTGCCTATAATGTTCATTAACACAATGGCTGACAAACAAATATACAGAAATTTTTAATTGAGGAGCCAAAGAAGAGGAAAGGAGAGAAAAATCTTAAAACTCAGCCCTGGGCTGAGGAGGCATCACACAAAACTGAGTCTGGCACAGACAGTGATGGGGTGACTGGCCAGGAACATCTAGAGCAGTTTCTGGTAATAGTGGGTGAAAAGCAATGAAAGACACACTGGCCACCAGAAACATGTTTCTTCTTACTTTGGGGTGGGGCAGAGGCAGGAAACACATAAGCCGCTGCCTCATGGGCATGGCGCCTCCACACTACACTCTGAGTATCTCCAGGCAGTTGTTGTAGCAGATGGCAATCCAGTCTGGCTGAGTCGATGCCCACTGCACGTTGTTGATCTCTCCCTCTGCTGTGTAGGCCAGGATAGGGTCCTCGATGGCTCGGGGCATTTGCTGGATGTCCCAGATTAGAGCCTGATGGTCATCCGCTAGGAACGGAGAAAGCCAGAAAGCAAGGTCACAACTTAGGCAAAGATAATAATCACTGCATTTGGTAGTGTTGATAGTCACAGTTTATAAAACATCTGCTCACCAAAACCCCAGTGAGGGAGATTTTATTTTAAGCCCCCATTTTACAGATGAGGAAACTGACATTCAGAAATGTTAAGGGGCTTGCCCAAACCACAGAGCTATGCAGCCAGTGAGTGGTAGAGCCAGACTCAAAGTGAGCCTCTGACTGTCCCAGGGCTGTATTTGCTGCATCAGGGCTAGGACGGGAGAATGGGACTTGGTGGGCACCTCTCATCTCAGATGAGCAGGCACCAGAAAAGGATGATGCGATGAGATAAAAATGATTCCAAAACATGTCATTTTCAGCCACCTAAAGTACTTGAGTGATTAAAGATCCTTCTCTGATGATTCAATTTAATGGAACTTCTCCCCTATTTTATGGACATTTACACTTAAAAGAGGTGTTAAACAGATAATGAGATAAAGTACTATCCACACATGTGCTATTAAAAACAATTTTCCCAATAAAAGGCCCTGGAAAGAAGGTAATCCGCTTAAATAAATATGTAAGCACACAAGAGATGACCAGAAGGAAATAATATCACAATGAGAATAGAGGTACTATTAGAATGGCAAGGTTGTCAGTTAGGTTTACTTTTTAGCTAGATCCTAAATGACCTGCAATGTGATCATGTTCCTTTTATAATCAAAATAGTAAGTTCTTAATCTAAGAGAAGAAAAAAAAGGCAACAACCTTCACTATCATAGTGTCTTACAGTTCCATCAGCCCATCCTGATGCAAAAGCCTCTCTCTGATACACAGTGGATCTGAATAAACTAAACCCGAATTGGCCTCCCGCCACGACCATGTAACACAAGCAAGATGTGAGAAGCCATTCTGCTGACAATTTCTGTCAAGAGATCTGGGGAATTATTTTAAACACTCAGCACCTCTAAAGCACTAAGTTCCTTTTCCTGAATGCTCAACTAAGCACATTCTTCAGCAGCACCTCCTTCCACTGAAAGGACTCAAGACAGGTGCAACCCACCCAACAGCAGCGAGGCAGGCAAAGGCAGCACTGGGAGCAGGCGATGGATTTCTGCTGGGGAGAACATTCCTGTTTTCCATGAACAATGGACGACAAATTTATTCTTCCCTTCACCCACCCCTACCTATCCACACCCCTAGGAAAAAAAGAGGGCAATAATGAAGAAGTCAGACCACAAGCTAAGTAAAGTACAGAAGGAGGCGGCGGGGCCCCTAACTGTTCCTCCATGAGACACACAGACATGAGCAAAGGCCCAACACAGGAAAAGCTTCATAAGCCTTTCAAATCAATACTAAAATGGCAGGAAACCTCATATCTACTACATTGCTCCTTTGGCTCCATAATGAACAAGGAAATGCGGGCAGTACCAATTAGCAAGAGGAATATTCATATGTTAGAAGGAAACCCTAGGCACTGACAAAGGTAAGGAGCAGAACGCTGTGGGGCTAGAGTGAAATCCCATCTGTGTAAAAGGGACAGATATTTGTATGAGGGGTGGGAGACTAGGTATCTGCATACATCCACACAGAAAGGTCTGGAAGGAGACATACAAATTGTTGTTATAGGGCACCTATGGAGAGTACAGCTGAGGTGGAAATGCAATAGGAAGGAGAAAAGACTTTCACTTTCCTATCTTATATACTCTGTACTGTTTTAACTTTTAATAAGAGAATTATATTATTTCTAAAATAAAAGTACACTGATAGCCAGCCTATTTTTAAGGGGTTCTCATTTTGGTCTGGCAAATGGAGAAATGAAAACTAGAAGTCACACACCACTGACCAGGCCAGGCTACACAGGGCCCTTCAATGCATCCAGAGCTCACTGTAGGTTCATTACATCTCCCAAGGGAGATGCCAATCATGGCAGTCCCAAAGATTCTGTTATGTCTATGGCAGACTGCCCACATTCCTGGATCTGAGCCCTCTCTATCAACCTAGATTGGGGGGGCGGGGGGCGGCGCGCCTTATGAGACAAAAGCCTGTAACTGATACATGATATAAATAGTATATGGAAGATGCTCTGATATCACGGAGAATACAAAAATGTTTGGGAAATTGGACTGCTTCAGTTTCACAAGTGTGGGGAAGCTCTCACCTGAGTGACTTTGTATAAATCTCTCAAACTTTCCTTGGAAAATAGTATGATTACCATTCTAAGATGAGAAAGGTCTTCTTACCTCTCCCTCCCCATGTGGCCCCCCCCCCCCCCCACCGTGATTACCTGCAGTGCAGATGTGGCAAGATGAATGTGGGGCCCAAGCTATACCATTGACACATGCTCGGTGGTTGTTTAACCTTGCGACGGGCGTGCACGGAACTCGGACATCCAGAATCACTACCTGCATAAATAACAAGTAAAAGGCTCAGGAAGTTCAGAGTGTGACAGAAAAAAACAAACAAAAGACACTACACAAGAGAAAAAAAAATTTTAAAGCATAACTTTTTCCTTTGCGGATTTAAAGATTATCAGATACATATGGTCTCTATCCCAAAAGTAGCTACTGGATTGAGGAACAAGAAAAGAAAGAAGACACAGGTAGTTTATAGTCTGTATCTAAAGCAATACAGGGTCTTCAGGCTGATAAGGAAGGGAAGATGGAGGGGCAGGGAACTTGAATTTGAAGTACCCTAAGGTGCACATGCCAAGTTTCCGTGCATGCTCAGACCTCAAAGAATCTGGAATTTAAGGAGTCTGAGGGGCTGATTTCACCAAAACAAAGTTAACCACTACATCATTTCTACCTACAATTTATTGCTTTTACCAAGTAACAGCCTACAGAGAGTTGACATTTCCATGTTTGTTTGCTAAAGCTGGAACAATCTGTCTTGACTTACGGAAAGTGGAGACTGCCTGTTTCTTTACTCAGCATCATAAGCACATACGATTTGATTTACTTTTAGATATTGCTTTTCTTGACACCAACTTCAACTTTTTGAGTATTAAAAATTCTTAACACGTTGTGCTTGTTCTAGACCAGATTTTCTCAGTCTCAGCACTCCTGACATTTTGGGTTGGACAATATTTTGTTGTGAGGCTCTGTCCTGTGCATTTCACGAGGTTTAGCAGAATCGCTGGCCTCTGCCCACTAGATGCCAGTAGCACCACCCTGCTCCCGCTGAGTTGGGATAATCCAAACTGTTTCCAGACATTTGCAAAAATCCACTGGGAGAAAACTGCTACCAGTTGAGAACCACTCTTCTAGATATATTAAGTAGTGCCAGAGTTAGGTGGCAAGGCCTATGCTGTCCTGAAGAAGGGTGCTCACCTCCATTCCATCCATGGCCATGGTGGCCAGGTAGTTAGGGTCCTGCTTGTTCCAGCAGAGGCGAAGCAGCGGGTGATGCTGTGGGTCTTCATAAATGATGGTGCTGTGTTCTAGATGGCGGAGATCAAACATCCGCACCGAGCCATCAGCGCCCACAGAGGCAAACATGTCCCTGCCACCCCCAGCCCGGCTAAATGCGATATCATAGACCTGTTGGTGAATAAGACACTTCAGTCAGATCCCAATCCATTACCACCTTTCCCCATACCAGGGAAATCTGCTATCCCTAATTCATCTAAACCCTTGTTCATGACACAGGAGGAATTAAACAAAGCCAAACGGTGTCTGCAAGCCTGGAACCCAAGAACTCTAACATCAATGACTTTCCAAAAAGTGAAGATCATTCTGCTCTAGAAATTGGCTGGCTTCTTCCCACATTTGCTTTCCAAGGCTTCTTCCAACCCCTGTGATAAAACAGAGTACATACCCTGCTGACAACCAGAACACAAGTATTCTGAGCAAGTAGCCTGCATGATTAGACGGGCTCAGCGGAAGCCAGAGCCAGTGGCTATCTTCTACCACGACACAAGATTGAGACATTTATTTCCTGGGCCTTGGTGGCTTTCATCTGCATGCAGTCAGAGGCAGATCCATGACCACATTAAGGCCAAGATCATCCATTAGAAAGGTGGAAGCAGCCCTCCGGTGGCCACTTAATAACAGCCTAGCTGGTTTTGCTGTGAAACCTGGACCTGAGACTCATTTGCAAGAAGTAACAGCAGTTTTAAATCATGGGAGGATAACTGTTCCTATATTCACAAAGGTTTAGTATCACGCTTTTGTCCTAGGACATGCTCTGTTTCTTCTACTAGTTGGTCTGCATTCGTAAGTGAATCAATTTATGTTCTGAATCACTGTTTCCTGTATTTATTACTCACTGCAAACACTGATCACCACTACTATCTATGAGAAAATGCAGGCAAAGGGCAACAGAGAGCTTTAGAGAAAGGACAGAGACAGAGAGAAAAAGCCAGAGCCAGACAAGCAGGAGAGAGACTAAAAAAGAAAAACAAAAGAAAGAAAAAACAAGACCCATCTTCTGGGGTCAAGATTAATAACACCTGATTTCTGGAGAGACAAGACTGAATCTCTTACTAAATACCATGACTCCAGCCTTCATAAGGTTCTTCCTACTAAGGGACACTGCCAAATGAGCATCTATTTCTATACAACCTCATAAATTCCTTTTTCTCTGACTATGAAGAAAGTACACTTCTTTTTCTATGGTAGGAATTAGGAATGATCCCAAAGGGAACTGGGGAGTTCACCACAAGGAGGCCTGGCAGCCCCAGGCTCTGTCCAGCACTGCCCAGCTGCATGAGGAGGCATATGTTCATCAACATGATCACAGCCTGGGGCCGGCTCTCAATAACTCCTGAGAACAGGGACACCACAGCAGCGGCAGCTTGTTGCCGCAGACAATGATCTCTCAGCTTTAACTGACTGCTCCTTCATCGGGGCTCCACCAATGTATTTCACTATAAACCAAGAGAAAATGACAACCCCACATATATGCTACCCTCCTCTACACCAATCTACCATGCATCAATGAGAGACCCCAAACAAGTCTTTACATTGACAGAGAGACAGGCTGAGAAAAACCAAAGGTGCTGGGAGATATCACTGTTTCTCTCAGAAGAGCTATCCTCAGGTTCTTTTCTTCAAGGCTGGGTGCTAGTCTAGGGCCTGTTTGCTGGTCCTGGCTGTTTCCTCTGGTAGGGAGAAGCAGAGGTATTTATCCTCCCTTCTTTCTGTTCCCCGAAGCATCTCTGGCAATAGCTGTGTCCCCTCCATGGTTCTAACTTTTGCCAGGTAAACTCAGCTGTTGAACTCTAATAACCCTGCTTCCTCCCTTGGCCCCTCTGGCCCACAGGCAGCATCACTTCCTCCTGGTCCTATTTTTGAAATTACTTCACTGTTGCCAGTGTGGCTTCTTGGCTTTACCATCACCTGTGTAAGCAATCCCCTGGATTAAATCCTCTCCATTTACATACTTAAAGTAGTTCTGGTATTCTGGACTGGACCCTGACAGAGAACAGCAGACTAAGTTGTCATGTAACTAAAATGTAGCAACCTGTTCCACTTGATGTCAAGAGGGTTTCCAGAAGTTCCTACTGGTCCTCTCTGCAGGACTAACTCTTCCTTTGCCCCTTGGTTCAGCAGCAGCCCAGTGCAGCAGTCTTTTAACAGATCTTACCCTTAGGAGCACAGAGAGCCAAAGAATAACCCCTTACTAAGAATGATAACCTGGTCATCAACTTCCCATTCTGTGGACAACCTCAAGTTTCTAACCTAAGGTCAAGGCATCCTTTTCATCCATACACATAATATTCCTCGCTGTGCAGGGTAAGGTAGAAAAAAAAAGGAAACACTACCCACAGGAAATCAGAGTACTAAGAGCATGCAGCAGCTCTGGGAGGAAAAGATTTATGACCATTTTCCAAAAATCACTCATAAGAATGCTCTAATTAAAACATAATCACAAAGAGCTCCCTGTGGTTTACAATAAACACAGGAGAAACATCACCATCAAGATAAACCAATATTCAATTCCAAGCAGTTTCAAGTATTAAGTGAACACAGTAGAATTTCATAAAATAAATTTAGAGAAAAATAGATGAATTAGGCTTAGCTGCCAGGAAATTTCCCTCTTCCTGACTCCCTCCCACTACCACTTCCCCCAGAAAGCAAATATATTTCAAGATAAGTATTACTCTAAGATTAATTTTTAATCACATCAGGTCTGTGTTTGTCTATAACAGAGTTCATTATTAAAAAACAGCAATCTATGGCATGAAAAGACAAATAACAGACTGTAGAACAAGTTGTTTCTATCATTCAAAAAATGCACCCATTTTACAACAGTGCTGTTTGCCACTGTTTTGACACATTACTATTTTCAATTTAGACATGATGTTATTAGCATTATGATTTCTGCATCATGTGCAAAACAGTGAGAGGACAGTCTGACAACACTGAGGCCACAGAAGGCAGAAGGGGGACGGCATCATTACCTCTTTATCATGGGCAATCAGTTGGGTCTTCACATGGCCAGACACAAGATTCACTCGCCCCAACACCTGCCCTGTCTCCAGCCCCCAGATGGTACAAGTGGTATCGATGCTGGAAGTACCTGGAAACAACCAGTGCATGTCAGTGGCTGATGGGAATGAGGTTCCCAGGCACGCTTCTCTCCCTGTGTCTACTCGCTTGTTCAGCACAGGAGACCACATGTCACAAACACTTCCTAGAACAGGGAGGGTACCAGGAGAGCCCAAAAGAGTCAAGTATTCAATCCTTATCCTTGGACCTTAGACTCTGACTACAGACAAACCATATACACACAGGAAGCTTGATTCCATGTGAGGAATTAATAATCACACTCCATATCTAGTCTCTTTGGCCCCATTCTAAGATGATACATGGACCTCAGGCTCCTGGTTATAAATTGGCCCAGTGTTATAGCTGAGAAAATGTATGTTTGCTTCTTCAAACTGGAATTAACACTCCCTCAGTCCCTTACCTAAAAGATAAGGATCCACCTCATTCCAGTCAAAGGAGGTCAAAGGAGCACAGAAATCTGAGTTCTTGTTATTGTTTAGCAAACATTCCAGCCTGGTCTCTGTCTCCCCAACCTAAAAGAACAATTTAAAAAAAAAAATCAGCCAGTCTCATCTTCGCCAAAAATCTTTAAAGCACAGTTTAGACAGTATCTTAGTAAATGTCAGACATGGGGGTAGTGGGGTGTGGAGAACTTTTATCATAAATAATAATAAAACCCAGAGGGACTCCCTGAATGCTACTTCTTTCCAAGCTTTCTTCTCTGCCTAGCTGCGTTTTCCAAATTTTTCTAGGTAGGTCTTCTCACCTTGCCCAACCCGGAATGAATCTGGGTACCTTGCCTGGCTGTGCACTATGCCTGCAGGTTAGGAGATGCCACTGCCGGTAAACTAAGCTAAGCTCGGCTGAGAGGGGAGGTGGAGCTCCATAATCCACATGCACACTTCACTAGAATCAGTGGCCGGGCAGTTTCTTTAATTTACTCAAAAGTATCTTGGCTGCAAACAGAATAAGAGGCCTCAAGTATCACCACTCCCACAAAAGGTTATGTCAGGTTAACTGAGCCTCGGGTTTCCAGGGCAGGCTGCAGCCAGCAGCAGGAACTTCCAGGAACCTTGGCTACGTTTGCTAGGAAACCTGCTGAGCCAAACAAAGTCATTTCCGATGCGTAAGCATTTGTTTCTCCCGGGCTGCAATGACACTCATTGCCTCCAACACCATTCTGTCGTTGACTCCATGTTGCCAGTAGCAGCTGACATGAGCACCTGCTTACCCTCCACACTCGGAGATAGTCACCACTTGTTGCCAGTAGGTCTGGATAGACACCTTTTGTGTCAGGGATCCACATTAGCTTTGTGGTGGGGTACGGATGGTCAAAGGTGTTTCGGCAAATAAATTCCGAGCTCTCTTCATCTAATCCAACAAGCTGAACCTGTAACACAACACAATTGAACCACATAAACATGTTTTTCTGGAGCAATGTCAAGTACATCAGATCCCTGGTCAGTGACAGAAGCCCTGATGCTGTACTGCAGAGTCCAGAACGATTACAGAGGGAGGGCATCCAGTCCAACCATCCCTTTGCTCAGAGAGGAAACCCAGCCTCGGAGGGATGCCTTACAGTCGACACTGCAAAGCTGGTAAGGGGCAGAGACAAAACTTGAAGACGGGTTTTCAGATCCAAACCCTGCAGTTTTGACTCACAGGACTGCATACCCTGCCCGGAGGTTACACCTTCCTCCACACCCGAGGCACCTGATAAAGTGTGTTTTTAGTTGCTCCATTGTCTTTGAAGAACTGTGGGTATTTAGACCCTGCGCAGTCCCATACAACAATGTGACCCTCACCCCGCACTGGCTAGTAACAAGTTTACACAAAAAGGTGTGCAAAATGAGCATTCAAGAACCAAAACCTCTCCACTGGAAGAGAAAAAAAAAAAAGAAAAAGAAGTGGGTACCACTGATGAACAAGTTCCCTAGTTCTAGCCACTCTTTCTTAAGAGTCAATTTTGAACAAATATTGACTTGCATTCTTTGCTGTCAAATCCAATCTTGCTCAGTGAGAAATGCCATGGTATGTATTTATGAACTTCTACCAACTGGTAGATGGAATGGGGAATTTTTGTTAAAGATCCATAATGACAAGATAAGCACTAACCATACAACAGAAAAATAGAATCTTTCATTCTGTCTCACTTTCAGTCTTAAGATACCAGTATCTTCCTTTCCAAAAAAAGAAACAGGTACAGATGCATACAACAAAATTTCACTTATTTTAAGTGTACAGTTCAATGATTTGGAATGTATACATTTGCAAATGTATACAGAGTTGGGTAACCTCCCCCCGGCAAATAACTGATGTAAAACATTTGTAATCACCCCAAAAAGTCCTCTTGGGTTCCTCTGCAGTCAGTCCCCTACCCCTAGTCCAAAGCAACCCCTGATCTATTATATATAGGTTTGCCTTTTCTGGAGTATCATGTAAATGGAGTCATTGTATTGAGTCTTTTATGACTGGCTTTCAGCATGCCGCTCTTTGAGATTCATCCATGTTGTATGTATCAGTAGTGTCTTTTTTTATTATTATTTAATTTTTTATCTTCTTTTTGTATTGCTGAATAATATTGCATTATATGGAAATATGGTATCCAGTTGATAAACCTCTGGGTTATTTCTAGTTTGGGGCCATTAATGTAAATTGATATAAACATTGATGTGTGAGGTTTTTGGTGGCGAGCAAGCTTTCACTTTTTTCTTGGGTAGATGACTAAGAATGAAAGTGCTGGGTCATACTGTATGTTTACCTTTATTAAAAAACAAACTCCCAACCTGTGTTCTAAGTGCCTTCGTCATTTTGCAGTCCCACTAGCATTACATGAGAGGTCCCCATGCTCCACATCCTTGTCAGCACTTGGTATCGCCAGCTTTTCTTGTTAAGTTATTCTAATAGGTGTGTAGTAGTATTTTTATTTGCATTTCCCTAGCAACTAATGATACTGAGCACTTTTTCATGTGCTTATCTGATATGTGTATTTATTCTCTGGTAAAGTCCATTCAAGTATTTTGTTCTTTAAAAATTTTTTATTTTTTTAGATTCACAGAAAAATCGGGCAGAAAGTAAAGTTTCCATATACCCCCTGCCCCTACACATCACAGCCTTCTTCACTATCAACATACCTGCACCAAAGTGGTTATGTTTGTTAACTGATAAACGTAAAACTGAACCCAAAGTCCAGAGTTTAGAGTTCAGTCTATGGTACATTTTATAGGTTTTGACAAATGTGTAATAGTGTGTATCCATCACTATAGTATCATATACAGTTTCACTTTTTTTTACTGGGTTGCTTGTGTTCTTATTTATTGAGTTTTCAGAGTTCTTCGTATATTCTGGATGTAAGTCCCTAGTTATGTGTGTGTGTTTTAAGATTTTATTTGTATTTGGGGGGGGGGGAGGAAGAGAGAAAGAGAGGGAGAGAGACATCAGTTGGTTGCCTCCCGCATGCCCCCAAATGAAGACCTGGCCCGCAACCCAGGCAATGCCCTGACCAAGAACTGAACCGGTGACCCTTCCGTTTGCAGGCCAGTGCTCAGTCCACTGAGTCACAATAGCCAGGGCCCTAGTTATGTGTTTTGCAAGTATTTTCTCAGACTATGGCTGTTCTGTTATTTTCTTTCAATGTTTTTTGAAGAAATTTAAAATTTTGATGATGTCACTTTATCATCTCTTTTACAGCTCATGCTTTTTTGTATCCTAGCTAAGAAACCACTGCACGACCCCAGGTCACAAATATTCTAAAAGTTTCAGGCTTGTGTAGTTTTGTAGTTTTAGGCTTTACATTTAGGTCTCTGATCCATTTCGAGTTAATTGCTTTATATGATGCAAAGTATGAATCAAGGTTCACTTTTTTACATACAAATAATCTGATTGTCTCAGTATCATTTGTTGAAAAGACTGTACTTGCTCCTTGGCCCTTCTGTTAAAAGTCAACTGACCACGTATTTTTGCATCTATTTCTGGATTCTCTGTTATGTTCCATTAATCTATATGCCTATCCATTTGCTAGTACCACACTGCCTTGATTATAGCAGCTGTCTAGCAAAGTCCTGAAATAAGAGCGTGAGTTCTCCAACTTTTTCTTTTCAAAAAGGTTTTTGCTAGTCTACATATTTACTTTTCTCTATAAATTTCAAAACCAGCTTATCAAACCAAAAAGCCTGCTGAGATTCTAATTGGGATTATATCATATCTATAAATCAGTTTGGAATAACTGCTATATTAAAAATACTGAGTCTTCCAACTCCTAAACATAGCAATTCTCCACTTGTTTAGGTTTTCTTTAATTTCTCTCAGCAAAGTTTTGAAGTTCTCAATGTAGAAGTCTTGTATTCCTTTCACTAACTCTATTTCTAAGTGTTTCTAAAACAATTTTTTTTATTGATTTTAGAGAGAGAAAAAGAAGGGGGGGAGAGAGAGAGAGAGAAACAAAGATTTGTTGTTCCATTTATTTATACATTCAGTAGCTGACTCTCATATGTGCCCCAACTAGGGATCAAATTCACAACCTTGGAGTATCAGGATGATGCTCCAACCAACTGGGCTACCCAGTTAGGGCCCTAAGTGTTTTTACTGGGAGGCACCTTTTCAGCTATTAATAGAGACGAGCCAGATTTCTCCTTTGGCTATTATTATTTGTATATAACTTCCTTGGAAAAGTCCCAAAGGGGAAAGTGGGTAAGTGGCAGAATTTAGACACCAAATCCTATACCAAACCCCTCACCATAATATTCTCTATCATTTTCTTGCCCAGAAATAAGTTTTATCTATCTTAATCACCTTTCAATTGGGCTTATTTTATTCTTTAAATGTACTTTTAGACTGTAAAAGAAATAGAAAATGTGTGACCATTATATAAAATCAAAGTACAGGTATATTAAAGGTAATAACTCCCCTATCCTATCCCCAAGATATCACATTATTAACTTGGTATGAGTTTACTTCCACACTCTTCTCTACGCTCAAACATATTTACACATAAGGCTTAGGTTTTCCCTCAACTTTAAAAAAAAAAGGGGGGGGATATTATATCCAATGCTATAAATCTTATTTTTTATTAAACAAAATAATGGGCATCCCTCAGATCAATATGTAGGTCCATCTCATTCTTTAAACAATGCAAAACATTTTATGCCTTGGATATTATGTGTTTGTGTCCTGCTGTCTTTATTTCTAGAGGCCAAAGTTCTAAGAGTATTAAAAGGTATGTTCATTTTAAATTTTAATAGATGCTGATTTACTTTCTAAATAGGCTGCAGAAATTCAAACTCCTACCAGGTATTTATAGTAGTACAATCTATAATAGCTTGTCAAATGTGACTAGCCTAATTTCTCTCTCCCCCCTTCAAGAGGACTTGATTATTTTGCCTGGATATACAAAATATTCTTTATTCACCCCTAAAATGAACAAATAAAAACTTTCTTAGGAAATGTTTTAGTGCCAATTGTTCTATGCCAATTTTTCTTTACTTCAAACCTTTATTTCCATAAAGTCTTCTTTAACTGCATATTTTAGTTTTTTGTGTTTCATTTCTTTGGTCTTCTTCAGGAATACCAATTATACCTAAATTAGATCTTCTTTATTTTCTGTATCTAGTATGTTCTAATGATTTCCATTTCATTCTCTCCATCTGTCTTCCCTATCCCTCACTGTATTTTCAGCAGTTATGCTATCCATTGTTATTTTTTTAATTCTGTGATAATTTTTGTTTTCTTTTCCACTATTTCCTGGGCTCTACCTGCTGATGTTTCATTTTCTCCTGTCATGATGCCTTATTTTACCCAATTTGTATCTCTCCTTGAAGGTCTTTATTTTCCTAAATTCTGACTTTATGGTGCCAGGACTGGCCACTAATTTTCAACTGAGGTAAAAAACATTTTGTCTAGTGTGGGCCTTTTACCTGCCACTTGTTTCCCATTTTCCTCCCCTCCTTTCTTATAGTATCTTTCTATAGCTACTGTGCTAGTTCCTTTTGAATGAGGCAAGTTCTTCCTAGATGACGTAAAGAAGGTTCCTGTGGGAGAGAGGTTGTGGCCAAGTTCCAAGTTAGCAGAAACACGTGAAGCTTTTGCATCTCCCCAGTGTACAGGGATGAGGAGCTGCCAAGCTGCTCACAATTTAATCACCTGTTCCATCTGCCTCATCTAATGCTTCTAGAGAAGATGGTACATCTACGTGTCTTCTTGTACAGCTTAGCTTATTTCTTGCCCAGTGTCAAAAGGGCTCTGAAGGACCCCCTGCTGCCAGCCTGTGCATCATCTTTTCACCGTCCCAAACAAAGGACTGTTGATTTTACCCATCAAAATTCTATTCCAGAAAACTGTGCTGTTCTGATTAAAACTGCAGCCATAGATACCCTTTCTCAGTATCTTCCTATA